CCCCCCCCCAGGTGCGGGCCTGTGATCAGATACAAAACAAAGAAGTATTTCGTCTGTCCACACTAATTAGCACTACGGTGGTGTGTGCGTCGTCGACTATTGTGGGCCCTCAAATATGAAAAAAAAAAAAAAAAAAAAAAAAAATAACATGTAGTGTCTGCAATGGGCTGTGCAGATAAAACAGATATGCTATTGTGTCGGACTGGTGCAATTTTGTGCGGGAGGAGTGTGAAACCTAGCTGGCTGCGGATGCATCTGAAATTGGGGGTTTTGACAATGAAGGAGAATCCATTGTAGTTGAAATTGATGTAACAAATATTTCCACAGGAAATACCACTGTGGACGGTGGAGAAAGGGTCACTGGGTTTTGGTGGTGTAGCAATAGAGAGGGGGGGCTGTTTTCTTATCGAAGTGCCAGACTGACGAGCAAGCACATTACAAGAGTGCATAGAAAGATATATACTTCAAGGATCACTAAATGTATGAGACGGGTGGGGGGCTTATGCTAATATAAACCAAATAAGAAATGGTATATATGAACACTCCGTTGTGGTGCATCAACAAAATTTTGTAGATCCAGATGACACTGATGTCCACATACAGAATGTGGAAAACATGTCGTTGCGCTCAAAGCGCAAACTGAAAAGACAATTTGGCACAAGCCGTGATCTTTTCCCTTCACATTTACATGAGTTCATGTTCAGCAACCGCTTTTGTGGAAATAATATTTTTCAAAACTTCACTGTCACTTTTCATTTTCACACAACAAATTGTTTAAATTCTTCTTTTTAAAAAAAACTTATATACAATTTTTTAAAAATTGTCTTATGTTATTTGTATTATATATGTGGTTAAATGAATATGGATTTTTCTTCGTCGACGCTCAAGTGGTAGATAACCAAAATTACAGTGATGTGTGTAGGGTAAAGTAATAAAACATTATAGAGAGAAAATTTTTTTTTAACATCGTTCTTTTATTCAGTATTGTCGGGAAATCGTTATAGGGCACAGTAGATGTTGTAACATAGAAAAGGGGGAAAGTCACAAAAGCTAAGGAGTGGGATGGCAGGTAGCAGTAATTTATGTTAAGCACAACAGAGAAACCATTCCAGAACATGGGGTGACATTAACTAGGATACTATATTCTCCTGTTTCTGTTGCTTGCACAGAGGAGGCGTCACGGGGTATTGGGTAGAATTACTAACAGTGTAATTGGGACACCAAAAGTAGCTCGGTTTGTAACTTTACGACTGTGCATTGTAGGATGATAATAATAAGGAAGATAAAAGCATCAGAAAAAGCACACAAACTTAATAAAAAATAAATTTTTATATCTAAGATTAACTGAATATGAATAACATTTTAATTACTCTCACATCAACAGATACAGTGACCTTTAAACAACAATTTGCTGACAATATTCTTTAAATTATTGCTATTATGGATAACGAAAAGTCAAGTTCCAATTCATCGCCACCTAACTCTCAGATAATAGACATTCATGACAGCGACTCAAATGAGTCTACTGGAAATGAGGGAAATTATCCAAAAGACAAAACAAATAAAACTTCACAAGAGCCTGTGGCAAACGAGCAAATTTTGGCAGATGATGTAAGTCAACATAATTAATGTACTTGTATTATACGTTTTCTTTTAATTATCTTAAAAAATTAATATTGTCTTGTACTTGTATTAAAGGACCTTATGCATTGTAACCATCAGATGATAATGTTTGCTTCATAATTAATTTGAGCCATTAAAAAAATGTACATGAGACTTATTTCATATGAACTAATTGTTGTACATTTTGTTGGTTTTTTAATTTTGTAAACTTTAGTTTTTGTTCACTTTATAATATATATATATATATATATTGCTTAAATTGTAATAAAATTGGGGAGTTTTTGCACATTGCAATGCATAAAATAATAATCCTAGACATGGTTAACAAATACTGAAATAATTTGCTACCTTTTACAGATTGCACGACCTGAATTAAAAAAACTTAGTTTAGATATGAATGGTACATTCATGGTGGATTTCGACCCAGAGAAATCAAAGAGAGAAATGCGAAAAATGAATAGAAGAATCTATTCAAAAGAGTAAGGTTTACATTTTTGTCTTATTACATTTATTAAAGTAAAAAAAAAAGAATAATACTTTTTACTTTAATTTCAAGTAACTTCACAACTTCAACCCAGAACAAACAACTTATCAATTATTATTAAATTACACACATCCTCAAGAGTCAAATCGCACATTATAAAATTTTGTGTAAGGTTACACGTTACATCAAGTTCCTTTGACTGACTGATAAAGACAGACTTGAATTAATACAGTAGAGCGTCACTTTTCCTAAAACTGATTTTCCCAAATGTCATTTAACCGAACATCCCCTGTCTTTATACCCGATATTTATTATTATTATAATTATCATACACATTTCATGGAACATTTGTGTACAAAAACCAAACAATTCTGATCCTTATATAATTCAGTCAAAACCTAGATACTTATGGTATATGCAGTGACCATTTTGGGATCATGTGATCAGCAAACTTTTATTTTAATATATATTGTAGAATAAATGCCTAGTAATTAACTGTGTTAGTAAGCTAAAGTGACCTCGGTTTTTACTCTAAGCACCCTTATCCATTTTTGGAAAGCACATCTTTTCCCAGTGCTACAGTATAGCTTTGTATATCGTATTTCTTGGCCTATTTTTCACTTCACTGTAGAGCTGTTTATAGCCACCACTACTTGTCTCCATTAAAATGGCTTTGATATGGAAGTCACTGAGTAAATGTACCGTGTCATCCATTACACACACCACACACACACCCCCCCACACCCCCCCCACCCCCCCCCCCACCCCCCCCCCCCACACCTTTTTGTTGGAAAAAGTTGTTGATGTTCGAATGCACTCTTATTTGTTCTAAAGAATTCCATCAGGTGATGCAATTTTTAGAATTTCTGTAAAGGATCGTTCTGATTGAATCCTTACATATAAATGTAGTCAGGTTTCTTAAAAGAGAGAGAGTGAGGGAGAGATTTTTGCGGTACAAGTCATTATATTATTTTATGTGTGTCAATTAATATTTGTATTGAGGAGTGTACCTTTTTCACTTGCTGTGTTATTAGTTGATTAGATTTTTTGTTTCTGTATTTGAATTGGTCTAGAATTTTGATAGTACCAGTATAATTAAATTAAATATTGCTAGTATCGCAAGCTTTGGTTATCGTTTGCATGCTGTTTTCTCAGTCCTTTGTTATGTATTGTTTATTCTACGAGCCAAATCTTAACACAGATTAAATCTTTAGAACCATTTCATTACGTAACATACAGGAAAAACAATTTGGGTCTCCTTCAGTTTTTGACATCATTGACGTGAAGCTTATAAATTGTGTGGTATGTTCAATACACTGTACAATCATTGACATAAAGCTTATAAATTGTGTGGTATGTTCAATACACTGTAGAATCATTGACGTGAAGCTTATAAATTGTGTGGTATGTTCAATACACTGTACAATCATTGACGTGAAGCTTATAAATTGTGTGGTATGTTCAATACACTGTACAATCATTGACGTGAAGCTTATAAATTGTGTGGTATGTTCAATACACTGTACAATCATTGACGTGAAGCTTATAAATTGTGTGGTATGTTCAATACACTGTACATTAAAGCAGAGTTTCTCAGCTTGGACCATATGACACAACCATAAAAAATTTGAGAAGAGGACTTTATCTGTAAATACAGCAAATGGGTGAAACAAAGTAAGGTTAAACCAGAAAAAAGGAACACAACAAAACAACGAACGTGTTGGCATGAAGCCTTCATCAAGGAACGAACAACAGAAAAAACAGAATAATATATCTATATAGAAATATAGCACTTAGCTGAGAAGTAGGGTCCGAGAGGGCAGCAACAGAATTGTGGGAAGACAGCATTTTAAAAATAAATAACAGAAGGGGGCATGGATCTAAATGAACCGTTAAAATGGGTCTCAGGCAAAAAAAAAAAAAATTAATGGTTTAGGAACACTTCACCAAATGTGTATAACTATAAGGTAAGAAATTTTTTTCTTTGCACTAACTTTTGTACAACCTTTCCATAGCAGTGTTTGGTTATCTGAAAAATAAAATTATCTGAAACACCCTGGTCCCTGTTGGTTGAATTAGTTAGGAAAGTCAATGCTCTACTGTAATTTTTCAAAATCATTTGAATATACTTAATTAAGAATTTATAAAGCATTCTTATGGTGTCATATGTATGAGTGAATTGTTAAATGAATGTATCACTATCTTCAACTATCTGAAGCAACAAGCAAAATTACCCTTCCCTCATGTTCTTAAAATATATTCATTAATTTAAAAAATCATTATTTTTCTTATAAGATCCAGAAAAACTAACTTTTATGATGACAAGGGCCTGCTACTAGAAGCACAGATGGATCTTTGTGACTGTTTACACAGAGACTGCCCAGGGTGTCATTTCCCTTGTCCTCGCTGCAACTCCAGCAAGTGTGGCACAGACTGCAGGTGCAATAGGAAATACACAATTGATTTGATTGAGGTTGAAGGGACTGATATGATCTATAATTATCCTTTGTGACATAAAGGACTTATGTGATATATCATTGTCCTGTATGATTGAGAAGACTGATATCTATCATTGTCCTGTATGATTGAGAAGACTGATATCTATCATTGTCCTGTATGATTGAGAAATATGATATCTATCATTGTACTTTATGATTGAGATTGAGTGAATTAATATGAACTATATTTGTATGTTTCATTTATTGAGAGCAAGATTGTCCTAAGTACCAAATGAAAAGTTGTCATATTTGTACATTTACCTAGTGAGCAGTAGAAGTTGTCATATTTGTACATTTCTCTAGGGAATAGTACAGGTTGTTATATTTGTACATTTATGTACTGAGTAGTACCAGTACAAGTTGTCATATTTGTACATTTATCTAGTTATTGGTACATGTTGTCATATTTGTACATTTATCTAGTTATTGGTACATGTTGTCATATTTTTACATTTATCTAGTGAGTTATCAATGGTGGCATACTTCATTGTCGATGGGGGCATAATTCATTGTTGATGGTGGGATAATTCATCGTCGGTTATTCTGTTGTTTTCTGAGGTGAAACTGTTTCAACTATACTTTTTAGTTGTCATGGCAACTTTGATGTACTTATGTAATTTAAGTAATGTGATGAACATATTTTTGTATTTTTGTCACAATAAATGTCATAATTATTTTATGCATCACAACTGTGTTGTTGGTGTGTATGACAATACTTGCATGTGTTTGCTGGAACCAGTAATGGTATGTGTTGCAATACGTGAAATCTGTGAGAGTGCATCTTCTTTTGATGACTGCAGAGATGAATAAGATAAACGAAGTAACAATGTAAATTATAATTGAATCAGTTAATTAATTTGCCATCCAAAATGTCAAACAAAAAGACCTCTTTGTTTCTGTGTGGTACCCGGTATTACTATTAGGATAATATAAGTGGGCCCCTTTACACAAAGATATAAGCACCAAAGTGCAGTCCCGGTTGGTCACTCCCTTCACATACCATGTGGGAAGGGGAGGGGAGATTGCGACTGACTGAGGGCTTCCTCTGGTCTTAATCCGGCCCTGGTCATAATATGTGATATGTTTTGTTGGTATGCGTTACAATAATTTCAATATGCTGGTATGTGGTGCCATCGATATGTTGGTATGTGTTACGGTGGTATCAATATGCTGGTATGTGTTACACTGCTATCAATATGTTGGTATGTGACTATACTCGTTATGTTTTGTCAGTATGGGTTAAAGTTAAAATCATGGCCAGATTTACCTACATGCTATGTAAGCTTCAGCTTAGGGCCTCCAAATTTAAGAAGTCACTTTATAATCCAGCACTTAATAAACAAACAAAAAATTTACTAATATGAGAAATTTAAGTAAACCATTTACAAACATTCATTAATAAAAAATATTTTAATTTAAATATAATAATGAAGTCATATTAAAATATTCAATGAACTTTTCACATTCTGAAGTTAGTGGAAAATATGGTATCATAAATGTATGAAGAGCCAATAGAACTATTTACAATTATACTAATAATAATTTCATATTTCTACAAATTTGTAGTTTTCACTTGAAGGATAAAATTTGAATAGATATTTTGATGAACTTGAACAGCAAGTCAATAAGCCAAATCCTCTTTGCCAAATGTTGACTACAAATTACAAAACAGTAACAGTCCTAAAAAATCTTGTGATAAGGAAGCTGTAAAAATATGAAAGAAGCGCACCAGACACATATGATGAACTCTCTCTAAAAAATACATTCAGGAAAAAAATCCTTTATTCTTCAATTAGATTTTAAGATATACTTGAATCAAGTTGAAGATTAAGAAATACTTGATACATTGACATTGAACAACGTTTTCCATTCTTGTTTATCTGAAAGCCTCTAATTAAGAAATTCAACAATGTGTCCTACTGTTGAAGGAAACCTATTCTAAAGATTTTGATGTTGAACTTATGGATGAACTTGTACACGGATATAACTTATTCATGGATATAACTTGTACAGTTTCATTTCTATTTCTATGTTGAACAAAACATAAGCTAACCGACTGTACCAATTTATTTTTATATACAAGGAAAAACAGAGGGCCTACCCTAATGTAAATACAATCTTTCAAATCCAGATGGCCTACCCTAATGTGGATGCAATCTTGCAAATCCAGATGGCCTACCCTAATTCTAATTTGGATGCAATCTTTCAAATCCAGATGGCCTACCCTAATGTGGATGAAATCTTTCAAATCCAGATGGCCTACCCTTATGTGGATGCAATCTTTAAAATCCAGATGACCTAACCTAATGTGGATGCAATTTTTCAAATCCAGATGGCCTATCTTAATGTGGATGCAATTTTTCAAATCCAGATGGCCTATCTTAATGTGGATACGATCTTTCAAATCCAGATGGCCTACCCTAATTCTAATTTGAAGGCAATCTTTAAAATCCAGATGGCCTACCCTAATGTGGATACAATCTTTCAAATCCAGATGGTCTACCCTAATGTGGATGCAATCTCTCAAATCCAGATGGCATACCCTAATGTGGTTGAAATCTTTCAAATATGTCTTAGATGGTTTACTTTTTATTACACTATATTCTGAAGCAGACTTTAATGAAGGTAAATATCTAGTGCTGCACTTTCAGGTAATGTAAATGTAATGTATCAAAGAGGACAGCAAGAAGAATGTAAATAGGAATGTAGTATCAGAGACGACAGCAGGAAGAATGTAAAAAAGATTGTAGTATCAGAGAGGTCAGCAAGAAGAATGTAAATGTGATATAGTTTTAGAGAGGACAGCAAGAAAAATGTCAATGTAATATAGATCAGAAAGGACAGCAAGAAGAATGTAAATGGGAATGTAGTATCAGAAAGGACAGAAAGAAGAATGTAAATGTAATGTAGTCTCAGAGACGACAGCAGGAAGAATGTAAAAAGGATTGTAGTATCAGAGAGGACAGCAAGAAGAATGTAAATATAACTAAAATCCCAAGGGTAATTTTGTATTTTTTCGAATAATTGATATCAATAAAATAGATGACACCATACCTTACTTCTCCTAACGATTACGTCTGGAACAAGTTTAAAAGGGTCCTCAACATCTGAAGCCTATAGCCCCCCACTACTCACATTAACTTTAAGCCATTGCTGGTAACAGCTGGTCCTTGAGATGTGACGTACTGCTTGATACGGAATGTGTTGTTTGTATGTTACAATACATGATACGGAATGTGTTGTTTGTATGTTACAATACATGATACGGAATGTGTTGTTTGTATGTTACAATACTTGATACGGAATGTGTTGTTTGTATGTTACAATACTCGATACGGAATGTGTTGTTTGTATGTTACAATACTTGATACGGAATGTGTTGTTTGTATGTTACAATACATGATACGGAATGTGTTGTTTGTATGTTACAATACATGATACGGAATGTGTTGTTTGTATGTTACAATACATGATACGGAATGTGTTGTTTGTATGTTACAATACATGATACGGAATGTGTTGTTTGTATGTTACAATACATGATACGGAATGTGTTGTTTGTATGTTACAATACATGATACGGAATGTGTTGTTTGTATGTTACAATACATGATACGGAATGTGTTGTTTGTATGTTACAATACATGATACGGAATGTGTTGTTTGTATGTTACAATACTTGATACGGGATGTGTTGTTTGTATGTTACAATACTTGATACCCGCATGTTTTGTTTACATGTTGTAAAATAATTGATACCATTTTGTGTTGTATACTGGATATTTGTTGTTTATATGTGTTACAATACCCATTACTTATTTGTTGTACCAGATATTTGTAAATGAAAATACTTGATATGTTTTTGCTTGCGACAATATTTGATGTCTTGTTGTCTGACAATATTTGATGTCTTGTTGTCTGACAATATTTGATGTCTTGTTAAGGTATTAAGATGTTTCAATTCTTGAAATGTCTTCATTTTATCAGATGTAAACCAAAAAAATGAAACACATGGCCTTGAACTCTTAATAAATTAGGCAAAAGACAATAAACCGTTGAATATCCGGTAGAGTAAGAATAAAGCTTAAGACAAACGAGGTCAGGAGTAAGATTAGAGGCCAACACAGCCCCTCCTGAGCACCACACTTGTCACACTTGTCTTGTACGATTTCCGCGAATTGGGTTATCTACCTTCTCCACACCATCTGTGTCTCCTCGCTTCACATCAACAAAAGAATTCAAATCTTTGATGAAGATATATCCCGACTTCCCTTGGTACAGTTTCGTGCCTATTATACCGAGCGCTGATTGGTCGAACCTGTGACACACGCCGTAGACGTATTTGCCAAGATCTCTGTGGCAGTTGATTCTAATCTCCATGAGATCTTTGACGTTCTGAGGGCACATACAGTCCCCACTGACGGCACAAGCAGCCCATGGCTCCAGAAGCACCTTCTTAACAAACTCCTCATTATGTGCAACTATGATGGAGTTGAGTGAACTCATATAAGGGGAGTAAGCGCACGCCTCGTCACCGAAAAAGTGAAACATGCTTGTGAGAGTTACATGTGCAATAGTTGGGCGTGCTGATCCTAATTGTATCCCGCGATATTTTGCTCTCTCAAGTAAACCAAATAAACCCTCAGGGTCTCCATGAAATCTGATGGAAGCGTCCACCCACATGATGAATTTCGCTCTTTGAATATGAGCATTTATTATAATTGGTTTCCAGGTATAACACTTTAGGTAAGCCATAAAGTCAGGAAGATGTTCAAAAGGGAAGTCGATGAAATGACACTTACAGACTTCGGACAAAAACGAAACTTCGAACGGATCAAGACCTAGATTATAGACGATAAATGTAAAGTTATTCAAGTGCGGGAACACGTTGGTTTGGAGATTACGTAACAAAGCACGCGCTTCAGTGAAGTGACTAGAAGACACCGCTGTGACAACGATGAGGTCATAGTAGCCCGGCACGTTGTTACGCATGCGCTGGAGCAGATGTGTCAAATTACGGCTGATGCGCAGATGGTTTGGACGTGTGATCTGCTCCACACGCTCTCGACTGCTGCTGGGTAACTGCGTCTGAAGACAGCTCTTGGGGCTGCAGCTGTTTCCTATAACCTCTTCATTTATGCACGTGATAGAGTCATCTTTCGTCTCAGAGGCAGGAATGAGACGCAGTTTTTCATCCAGAATATGCGCCATCCGCTCCACAAAAGCCTGTGATGTTTCAGCCGCATTGAAATCACTGACAATGTCCTGACCGGTGCGCTGCCTCTCAGGGGTGTACATCACGATATCCTTATTCCCCTCACGTGACTTCCGACCTGCAGACGAAACCAACCGGTACAAGATGGAATATGTCAAAATACCAGCTATAAATAGCATCAGATAAAGTGTCAGCTTCCAGTGACGAATCATTTTCTAGTGACCAAATGCTGGTATAAGAATGGCGAATAGCTTTTAAATGTAACACACTGGTTATATCCCGTCCGTCACATCAGACGTATAGCTTTTAAGTGTAACACACTGGTTATATCCCGTCGGTTACATAAGACGTAGGATGAATTGATTTTATTGAATGATAGACTTTATGATTTAATGTTCATTTTTTCTTACTCAAAAATCATGCAATGGACTGTCATGGACTCACATTGACGATAATCGACTTTTATAGACCTCTTCACAAAAAACAAGGGTGGAAAAGTTAAGGAAACTATTAACATCCTGAAAGTAACATCATTATATTTGTGATTGCCCTGAAAGGGGAGATAATGTTTTTGCTCCATTAGGGGTCATCCATAAAAGACGTCCACACAAAAGGGGGGAGGGGGGGGGGTTCAGCAAAAAGTGGACTAAAGTGGACAAGGGGGGGGAGGGGGTTTAGGACAAAGTGGATGTCCACATTGTAGTGTTTTTTTGAGTGCAGCAGTTTTGCATAAATTTACTGCTAAAAACTTCTAGTTTAATGACAAAAGAGTTGGGATGCAAACCCAAACAAATCTTTCACAAACTGAGTGGTTGTTAAATTTAGAAACGATTTTTTCAATATTAATAATTAATACGCTTGAATATTATTTTAAAAATATTTTGTTAAAGTTTGATTTGTCAAATACAATACAATCTCAAATAACAGTTTTGTTAAATTCTTAGAGTTTTTCCAGAAAATCTTTAATGATTTTTATTTTGTGTTGGGGTTAAAAATGACTGGAATATTTGAATTTGACTTATTTTTTATTAAAAAATTAGATATAGGACAACAAATTATTTTCCTAAAAAATGTAAAAATATATTTAAATTTAAAAATACAATCTTAATCTAAAAAACAAATTTCAGTTTATGCTGCATGTATTATCAAGGATGGTCGTGTGACCTATTCCGGACCAACATCCATATCAATAAGGAGTGGTAAACATGATTCCAGTACTGCTGCATCACATGTTGCAGATTTTGATGTACTTGTCTCTCTTGATATTTTCAAGAATGTGGCATGTACAAATGGTGGACTAGTAAAGCCTATAGCAATTATTACCGTTGACGGAGGCCCATACGAGAACCCACGTTATCCAAAAACATTGAATGCTGCGTATAAATTGTTTACCAAGCACAATCTTGATGCTTTCTTTATAGCGTGTAATGCTCCGGGTCACAGTGCCTACAATGCGGTAGAACGACGAATGGCCCCTTTGTCTCATGACCTGTCAGGCCTCATTCTTCCCCATGATCATTTTGGATCCCACTTGGACGCAAATGGTAAAACTATAGACCAAAACTTTGAAAAAGCAAACTTTAAAAAGGCAGGGGAAATACTCGCTGAAGTTAGGGGTCAGGCTGTCATTGATGGCTATAATGTGCACGCACAGTATGTTGAACCAAGCAGCACAAGCACAAATCTTCCGTCTCCCTCTGTGAATTGGTGTTGGAATCATGTGCAAGTCTCAATATTCTCTGCAGATCATCAACTGTAATGATGTAACATGCTGTGGAGCAAGACGAACCAACTGTAATGATGTAACATGCTGTGGAGCAAGACGAACCAACTGTAATGACGTAACATGCTGTGGAGCAAGACGAACCAACTGTAATGACGTAACATACTGTGGAGCAAGACGAACCATCTGTAATGATGTAACATGCTGTGGAGCAAGACGAACCAACTGTAATGACGTAACATGCTGTGGAGCAAGACGAACCAACTGTAATGATGTAACATGCTGTGGAGCAAGACGAACCAACTATAATGAACTATTTCCCAAACGCTTCATTCCAGCTCCGGTACCCTTTATTAGTCATGAAGCAGGCGTCATGGCTGCAGCTAGTGGTAGTAGTAGTGGTACTTATGGAGCACTGCGTCATGGCTGCAGCTATTGGTAGTAGTAGTGGTACTTATGGAACAAAATCTTTGTAAATACATACTCTTTATATTGTTGTACATTTTCCCAAATTATTCATTAATTTAAGTTCGGTAAATTTTATGTTTTCGACGTCCACAACGGAGGGGGGAGGGGTCAAGTCAAAAGTGGACAAAAGTGGACAAAGGGGGAGGGGGGGTGAAAAATAGCAACAAATTGGTGGGCGTCTTTTATGGATGGCCCCTTATAGATTTTAATATAGATACACAGGTAATAAAAGTAACAGTCGTTTTTTTTCAATGAGTCAGTGGTATAAAAATTATATTCGATTACATTCAACTAGTGCAAGGGTGGTTTTACGACTTTGGTACCCTCGTCCAATAATTTTTCCACCTCTAGTGCAAGGGTGGTTTTACGACTTTGGTACCCTCGTCCAATAATTGTTCCACCTCTAGTGCAAGGGTGGTTTTACGACTTTGGTACCCTCGTCCAATAATTGTTCCACCTCTAGTGCAAAGGTGGTTTTACGACTTTGGTACCCTCGTCCAATAATTGTTCCACCTCTAGTGCAAGGGTGGTTTTACGATTTTGGTACCCTCGTCCAATAATTGTTCCACCTCTAAGTAGGTACTCTAACTAAAATGTTCTCAAGGAAATGATATGACATTCAACTATTCAACACAAGGAAATGATATGACATTCAACTATTCAACACAAGGAAATGATATGACATTCAACTATTCAACACAAGGAAATGATATGACATTCAACTATTCAGCACAAGGAAATGATATGACATTCAACTATTCAACACAAGGAAATGATATGACATTCAACTATTCAACACAAGGAAATGATATGACATTCAACTATTCAACACAAGGAAATGATATGACATTCAACTATTCAACACAAGGAAATGATATGACATTCAACTATTCAACACAAGGAAATGATATGACATTCAACTATTCAACACAAGGAAATGATATGACATTCAACTATTCAGCACAAGGAAATGATATGACATTCAACTATTCAGCACAAGGAAATGATATGACATTCAACTATTCAGCACAAGGAAATGATATGACATTCAACTATTCAGCACAAGGAAATCATATGACATTCAACTATTCAGCACAAGGAAATGATATGACATTCAACTATTAAACACAAAGAAATGATATGACATTCAACTATTCAACACAAGGAAATGATATGACATTCAACTATTCAGCACGAGGAAATGATATGACATTCAACTATTCAACACAAGGAAATGATATGACATTCAACTATTCAACACAAGGAAATGATATGTGATTCAACTATTCAACACAAGGAAATGATATGACATTAAACTATTCAACACAAGGAAATGATATGACATTCAACTATTCAGCACAAGGAAATGATATGACATTCAACTATTCAACACAAGGAAATGATATGACATTCAACTATTCAACACAAGGAAATGATATTTCATTCAACTATTCAGCACAAGGAAATGATATGACATTCAACTATTCAGCACAAGGAAATGATATGACATTAAACTATTCAGCACAAGGAAATGATATGACATTCAACTATTCAACACAAGGAAATGATATGACATTCAACTATTCAGCACAAGGAAATGATATGACATTCAACTATTCAACACAAAGAAATGATATGACATTCAACTATTCAACACAAAGAAATGATATGACATTCAACTATTCAGCACAAGGAAATGATATGACATTTAACTATTCAGCACAAGGAAATGATATGACATTCAACTATTCAGCACAAGGAAATGATATGACATTCAACTATTCAACACAAAGAAATGATACGACATTCAACTATTCAGCACAAAGAAATGATACGACATTCAACTATTCAGCACAAGGAAATGATATGACATTCAACTATTCAACACAAAGAAATGATATGACATTCAACTATTCAGCACAAGGAAATGATATGACATTCAACTATTCAGCACAAGGAAATGATATGACATTCAACTATTCAGCACAAGGAAATGATATGACATTCAACTATTCAACACAAGGAAATGATATGACATTCAACTATTCAGCACAAGGAAATGATATGACATTCAACTATTCAGCACAAGGAAATGATATGACATTCAACTATTCAGCACAAGGAAATGATATGAAATTCAACTATTCAACACAAGGAAATGATATGACATTCAACTATTCAACACAAGGAAATGATATGACATTCAACCATTCAACCGCAGCATTAAAAATGAAAGAAGCACCCCCGTAATTATTTAAACTTATCACCATGGTCTTATGAGTTACCGTGAGAATGTTAGATTGGCCAACTTTTGCACGAGGGTGACTCAATTCAATTCAACTACGCTGATTAAACTCTAAAGCAGAGGAAATAATGAACAGTTCACCATGCATCAATATTATTTATTACAATGGCATCAATCACATACAATGGTACAATTTATTTACTGGCGAAGATTGCCATCGCTGCATCAAATTATTTACGTTGGTACAGTGGTGTAGCTAGGGTTGGTGTCACCCTTGCTGTAAACTCATGATGTCACCCCCCTCCCCCACGGTGGATTTCTTGTTAAAAAGTCCTCAGTATAACAATGGATTGTTTTCCGTAGTCTTAGTCCTGCTGCCAATATTTTTCATTTTTCGAGGCAACATAGGTGCTCTCCAGATGCCTCATGATTGTGTAATTTTGGGCTCAGTTTCCAACAGTCATCAAACCCAGTAACAAATTTGGATGTTGTTTCTGTGCCATTAACAGCAAACAATCTTCAGCTAAAAACAGTCCCGTGTCCGACTGACCAGTAAAGAAACCATCCACGACCGCAGTATTTTCTCGCCATTTGGCATCATCCTGTAGAACCATTGTTTTGTTAGTTGGCGAACACCTCCTTTACATTTCGCATCTTCTCTTCTCACTACGCTGAATGGTCCGTCCTTGTTCTGAAACGAGGTACTCCATATTTTAATAATTTCCAACCGAAAATGATCTGCATCTGATATTCCCGTTTTTCTCATTAACCATCAAGTTTAGAGTATCTTTGTTTGATTCAAGATTATCAGCATCCACAACATCCACTTCTTTTACTTGTGTTTCCACGTCAATCTCTT